GTTCATTCTCGTGTTACGCAGCACGTTTGAGCTTCAGCAAGAGCCAATGAGGTTCATTCTCGTGTTACGCAGCACGTTTGAGCTTCTCAAGAACCAATGAGGTTCATTCTCGTGTTACGCAGCACGTTTGAGCTTCAGCAAGAACCAATGAGGTTCATTCTTGTGTTACGCAGCACGTTTGAGCTTCTGCAAGAGCCAATGAGGTTCATTCTTGTGTTACGCAGCACGTTTGAGCTTCTCAAGAGCCAATGAGGTTCATTCTCGTGTTACGCAGCACGTTTGAGCTTCAGCAAGAGCCAATGAGGTTCATTCTTGTGTTACGCAGCACGTTTGAGCTTCTCAAGAGCCAATGAGGTTCATTCTCGTGTTACGCAGCACGTTTGAGCTTCAGCAAGAGCCAATGAGGTTCATTCTCGTGTTACGCAGCACGTTTGAGCTTCTCAAGAACCAATGAGGTTCATTCTTGTGTTACGCAGCACGTTTGAGCTTCTGCAAGAGCCAATGAGGTTCATTCTCGTGTTACGCAGCACGTTTGAGCTTCTGCAAGAGCCAATGAGGTTCATTCTTGTGTTACGCAGCACGTTTGAGCTTCTCAAGAGCCAATGAGGTTCATTCTCGTGTTACGCAGCACGTTTGAGCTTCAGCAAGAGCCAATGAGGTTCATTCTCGTGTTACGCAGCACGTTTGAGCTTCTCAAGAACCAATGAGGTTCATTCTCGTGTTATGCAGCACGTTTGAGCTTCAGCAAGAACCAATGAGGTTCATAATTGTGTTACGCAGCACGTTTGAGCTTCTCAAGAGCCAATGAGGTTCATTCTCGAGTTACGCAGCGCGTTTGAGCTTCAGCAAGAGCCAATGAGGTTCATTCTTGTGTTACGCAGCACGTTTGAGCTTCTCAAGAGCCAATGAGGTTCATTCTCGTGTTACGCAGCACGTTTGAGCTTCTCAAGAGCCAATGAGGTTCATTCTCGTGTTACGCAGCACGTTTGAGCTTCTCAAGAGCCAATGAGGTTCATTCTCGTGTTACGCAGCACGTTTGAGCTTCTCAAGAACCAATGAGGTTCATTCTTGTGTTACGCAGCACGTTTGAGCTTCAGCAAGAACCAATGAGGTTCATTCTTGTGTTACGCAGCACGTTTGAGCTTCTCAAGAACCAATGAGGTTCATTCTCGTGTTACGCATCACGTTTGAGCTTCTGCAAGAACCAATGAGGTTCATTCTCGTGTTACGCAGCACGTTTGAGCTTCTCAAGAACCAATGAGGTTCATTCTCGTGTTACGCAGCACGTTTGAGCTTCTCAAGAGCCAATGAGGTTCATTCTTGTGTTACGCAGCACGTTTGAGCTTCTCAAGAACCAATGAGGTTCATTCTTGTGTTACGCAGCACGTTTGAGCTTCTCAAGAACCAATGAGGTTCATTCTTGTGTTACGCAGCACGTTTGAGCTTCTCAAGAGCCAATGAGGTTCATTCTTGTGTTACGCAGCACGTTTGAGCTTCTCAAGAGCCAATGAGGTTCATTCTTGTGTTACGCAGCACGTTTGAGCTTCTCAAGAGCCAATGAGGTTCATTCTTGTGTTACGCAGCACGTTTAAGCTTCTCAAGAGCCAATGAGGTTCATTCTTGTGTTACGCAGCACGTTTGAGCTTCTCAAGAGCCAATGAGGTTCATTCTTGTGTTACGCAGCACGTTTGAGCTTCTCAAGAACCAATGAGGTTCATTCTCGTGTTAAGCAGCACGTTTGAGCTTCTCAAGAGCCAATGAGGTTCATTCTTGTGTTACGCAGCACGTTTGAGCTTCTCAAGAGCCAATGAGGTTCATTCTTGTGTTACGCAGCACGTTTGAGCTTCTCAAGAACCAATGAGGTTCATTCTTGTGTTACGCAGCACGTTTGAGCTTCTCAAGAACCAATGAGGTTCATTCTCGTGTTACACAGCACGTTTGAGCTTCTCAAGAGCCAATGAGGTTCATTCTCGTGTTACGCAGCACGTTTGAGCTTCTCAAGAACCAATGAGGTTCATTCTCGTGTTACGCAGCACGTTTGAGCTTCAGCAAGAACCAATGAGGTTCATTCTTGTGTTATAAGAACCAATGAGGTTCATTCTCGTGTTACGCAGCACGTTTGAGCTTCTCAAGAACCAATGAGGTTCATTCTCGTGTTACGCAGCACGTTTGAGCTTCAGCAAGAACCAATGAGGTTCATTCTTGTGTTACGCAGCACGTTTGAGCTTCAGCAAGAACCAATGAGGTTCATTCTTGTGTTACGCAGCACGTTTGAGCTTCAGCAAGAAACCAATGAGGTTCATTCTTGTGTTATAAGAACCAATGAGGTTCATTCTCGTGTTACGCAGCACGTTTGAGCTTCTCAAGAACCAATGAGGTTCATTCTCGTGTTACGCAGCACGTTTGAGCTTCTGCAAGAACCAATGAGGTTCATTTTCGTGTTACGCATCACGTTTGAGCTTCTCAAGAGCCAATGAGGTTCATTCTCGTGTTACGCAGCACGTTTGAGCTTCAGCAAGAGCCAATGAGGTTCATTCTCGTGTTACGCAGCACGTTTGAGCTTCTGCAAGAACCAATGAGGTTCATTCTCGTGTTACGCAGCACGTTTGAGCTTCTCAAGAGCCAATGAGGTTCATTCTCGTGTTACGCAGCACGTTTGAGCTTCTGCAAGAACCAATGAGGTTCATTCTCGTGTTACGCAGCACGTTTAAGCTTCTGCAAGAACCAATGAGGTTCATTTTCGTGTTACGCATCACGTTTGAGCTTCTCAAGAGCCAATGAGGTTCATTCTCGTGTTACGCAGCACGTTTGAGCTTCTGCAAGAACCAATGAGGTTCATTCTCGTGTTACGCAGCACGTTTAAGCTTCTGCAAGAACCAATGAGGTTCATTTTCGTGTTACGCATCACGTTTGAGCTTCTCAAGAGCCAATGAGGTTCATTTTCGTGTTACGCATCACGTTTGAGCTTCTCAAGAGCCAATGAGGTTCATTCTCGTGTTACGCAGCACGTTTGAGCTTCTCAAGAGCCAATGAGGTTCATTCTCGTGTTACGCAGCACGTTTGAGCTTCTCAAGAACCAATGAGGTTCATTCTCGTGTTACACAGCACGTTTGAGCTTCTGCAAGAACCAATGAGGTTCATTCTTGTGTTACGCAGCACGTTTGAGCTTCTGCAAGAGCCAATGAGGTTCATTCTCGTGTTACGCAGCACGTTTGAGCTTCTCAAGAGCCAATGAGGTTCATTCTCGTGTTGCGCAGCACGTTTGAGCTTCTGCAAGAACCAATGAGGTTCATTCTCGTGTTACGCAGCACGTTTGAGCTTCTCAAGAGCCAATGAGGTTCATTCTCGTGTTACGCAGCACGTTTGAGCTTCTGCAAGAACCAATGAGGTTCATTCTCGTGTTACGCAGCACGTTTGAGCTTCTGCAAGAACCAATGAGGTTCATTCTCGTGTTACGCAGCACGTTTGAGCTTCTCAAGAGCCAATGAGGTTCATTCTCGTGCTACGCAGCACGTTTGATCTTCTGCAAGAGCCAATGAGGTTCATTCTCGTGTTACGCAGCACGTTTGAGCTTCTCAAGAGCCAATGAGGTTCATTCTCGTGTTACGCAGCACGTTTGAGCTTCTCAAGAGCCAATGAGGTTCATTCTCGTGTTACGCAGCACGTTTGAGCTTCTGCAAGAGCCAAAGAGGTTCATTCTCGTGTTACGCAGCACGTTTGAGCTTCTCAAGAGCCAATGAGGTTCATTCTCGTGTTACGCAGCACGTTTGAGCTTTTGCAAGAACCAATGAGGTTCATTCTCGTGTTACGCAGCACGTTTGAGCTTCTCAAGAGCCAATGAGGTTCATTCTCGTGTTACGCAGCACGTTTGAGCTTCAGCAAGAACCAATGAGGTTCATTCTCGTGTTACGCAGCACGTTTGAGCTTCTCAAGAACCAATGAGGTTCATTCTCGTGTTACGCAGCACGTTTGAGCTTCTCAAGAACCAATGAGGTTCATTCTTGTGTTACGCAGCACGTTTGAGCTTCTGCAAGAGCCAATGAGGTTCATTCTCGTGTTACGCAGCACGTTTGAGCTTCTCAAGAACCAATGAGGTTCATTCTCGTGTTACGCAGCACGTTTGAGCTTCTGCAAGAGCCAATGAGGTTCATTCTCGTGTTACGCAGCACGTTTGAGCTTCTCAAGAACCAATGAGGTTCATTCTCGTGTTACGCAGCACGTTTGAGCTTCTGCAAGAGCCAATGAGGTTCATTCTCGTGTTACGCAGCACGTTTGAGCTTCTCAAGAACCAATGAGGTTCATTCTCGTGTTACGCAGCACGTTTGAGCTTCTCAAGAGCCAATGAGGTTCATTCTCGTGTTACGCAGCACGTTTGAGCTTCTCAAGAACCAATGAGGTTCATTCTCGTGTTACGCAGCACGTTTGAGCTTCAGCAAGAGCCAATGAGGTTCATTCTCGTGTTACGCAGCACATTTGAGCTTCTCAAGAACCAATGAGGTTCATTCTCGTGTTACGCAGCACGTTTGAGCTTCAGCAAGAGCCAATGAGGTTCATTCTCGTGTTACGCAGCACATTTGAGCTTCTCAAGAACCAATGAGGTTTTTGTCAATATTTAATTTGTCGGTCTTATCTTTCCTTTTTTGGCATTTTGATGCTTAAGGATGTGGTGTAAAGCACATTGGTAAAAAAAACTTTGACTTTGTATATCTGCACTTTTACTCAGTCACTTTATGTTTTTGGTATTTCGTCCTCCACTGTGCACAAGTAATGACTGGTTGGTTCAAGCAGGACTACGACTCAAAGCTTGATGGACAGAGCAGAAACAGTGAAGGCATTTGTAAGCGCATTTGTTTCAGTAAAGCAGAGCTGGGAAACTGTCCTGCAGAGTTTCACTCTTGAAACATACAGGATCAGGGCTGGAGCTGAACTCTGCAGGACAGCGCAGTTAAAGAGCACTCATGTTAGTGACAGATGCGGGACAGAAGGGCAGTAGTACACACCTGCAGGGGCCACACCAGTCCGTTTGTTGGTTGAGCCCAAAGCGAGCACGGCATTTCTTTGGCGAGCCGGGGTCTGAGCGAAAGGCAGCATGCGTGAGCACCGGGAAAGAGCCAGCGGCAGAGACAGAAGATTGAGTGAAGGAGATGAAGGGGAAAGAGGCCGCCAAGCCAGAGAGGTTAGCCATCCGCACACCAGGAGAAATAGAAAAGCAATCTCAATCAAGACAGTCAGAGCGCCCCCTCATAAACCAAGCCCTCGTTGCAAATAGAGCTACATATCATATTATGTAGTCTGTATTATGTACTACTGCATATGATATACAATATACTGCATATGTTGGTGATGACATCAAAACAAAAGCAGAAAAAGTGCCACAGTCTATTTAAAGGGATAGTTCACCCAAAAATGAAAATTAGCCCATGATTTACTCACCCTCATGTCATCCTAGGTGTGTATGACGTTCTTCTTTCAGACGAATACAATCAGAGTTATATTAAAAAATGTCCTGGCTCTGCAAAGCTTTATAATGGCAGTAAATGCACTTTTATGGACTTCAAAACAGAAACGGCCATCTATCCATCATAAAAGTGTATCTATCCATCATAAAAGTGCATCTATCCATCATAAAAGTTCATCTGTCCATCATAAAAGTGTATCTATCCATCATAAAAGTGCATCTATCCATCATAAAAGTGCATCTGTCCATCATAAAAGTGTATCTATCCATCATAAAAGTGCATCTGTCCATCATAAAAGTGCATCTGTCCATCATAAAAGTGCATCTGTCCATCATAAAAGTGTATCTATCCATCATAAAAGTGCATCTATCCATCATAAAAGTGCATCTGTCCATCATAAAAGTTTATCAATCCATCATAAAAGTGCATCTATCCATCATAAAAGTGCATCTGTCCATCATAAAAGTGTATCTATCCATCATAAAAGTGCATCTGTCCATCATAAGTGCATCTATCCATCATAAAAGTGCATCTGTCCATCATAAAAGTGCATCTGTCCATCATTAAAGTGCATCTGTCCATCATAAAAGTGCATCTATCCATCATAAAAGTGCATCTGTCCATCATAAAAGTTTATCTATCCATCATAAAAGTGCATCTGTCCATCATAAAAGTGCATCTATCCATCATAAAAGTGCATCTGTCCATCATAAAAGTGCATCTATCCATCATAAAAGTGCATCTATCCATCATAAAAGTGCATCTGTCCATCATAAAAGTGCATCTGTCCATCATAAAAGTGCATCTGTCCATCATAAAAGTGTATCTATCCATCATAAAAGTGCATCTGTCCATCATAAAAGTGCATCTATCCATCATAAAAGTGCATCTGTCCATCATAAAAGTGCATCTATCCATCATAAAAGTGTATCTATCCATCATAAAAGTGCATCTGTCCATCATAAAAGTGTATCTATCCATCATAAAAGTGCATCTGTCCATCATAAGTGCATCTATCCATCATAAAAGTGCATCTATCCATCATAAAAGTGCATCTGTCCATCATAAAAGTGTATCTATCCATCATAAAAGTGCATCTATCCATCATAAAAGTGTATCTATCCATCATAAAAGTGCATCTATCCATCATAAAAGTGCATCTATCCATCATAAAAGTGCATCTGTCCATCATAAAAGTGCATCCATCCATCATAAAAGTGCATCCATCCATCATAAAAGTGTATCTATCCATCATAAAAGTGCATCTGTCCATCATAAAAGTGTATCTATCCATCATAAAAGTGCATCTGTCCATCATAAGTGCATCTATCCATCATAAAAGTGCATCTGTCCATCATAAAAGTGCATCTGTCCATCATAAAAGTGCATCTGTCCATCATAAAAGTGCATCTGTCCATCATAAAAGTGTATCTATCCATCATAAAAGTGTATCTATCCATCATAAAAGTGCATCTATCCATCATAAAAGTGCATTTATCCATCATAAAAGTGCATCTGTCCATCATAAAAGTGCATCTGTCCATCACAAAAGTGCATCTGTCCATCATAAAAGTGCATCTGTCCATCATAAAAGTGCATCTGTCCATCATAAAAGTGCATCTGTCCATCATAAAAGTGCATCTATCCATCATGAAACATCTATCCATCATAAAAGTGTATCTATCCATCATAAAAGTGCATCTGTCCATCATAAAAGTTCATCTGTCCATCATAAAACATCTATCCATCATAAAAGTGCATCTGTCCATCATAAAAGTGCATCTGTCCATCATAAAAGTGCATCTGTCCATCATAAAAGTGCATCTATCCATCATGAAACATCTATCCATCATAAAAGTGCATCTGTCCATCATAAAACATCTATCCATCATAAAAGTGCATCTATCCATCATAAAAGTGCATCTATCCATCATAAAAGTGCATCTATCCATCATAAAACATCTATCCATCATAAAAGTGCTCCACAGGCACCGGCGGGTTCATAAAGGCCTTCTGAAGCGAAGACATGAGTTAGTGTATG